CGCGACTGCGGGGGCTCATGGGAGCAGCAGGCTGGGGGAGCCGCACTCCCCCTCCCTCCCAACGCGCGCGAGGGCTCACGGGAGCTGTAGGCGGCGCGGGAGGAAAGGGGAAGAAAATGGCGCCGTTGCTGGCGCAGTAACGACACCCCGCAACGACACCCCCAGCAATGACACCACTGCGGCCACCAAGCTCGGGTAAAGGTTTAATACAAACGGCCTGACTGAAACTGTACATCACTCGTGAGCATCAGGGAGCAGGAAGCCCCCTACCAACTCCAATCATGACACGGGGTAGAGAAGAAAAAACAAAACAAAACAAAAAAAAAAAAACAAAAAACAAAAAAGAAAAAACACAACGAAATACAATGAAAACTACATGGAATACATACACCTTTTTAATGCCTTCTCCATAATGGGCCTGTGAAGCCCCTTCCTTTGGTAACAGCATGAGAGTCACACGAGAGGGACCACAGTAACGAAAATAGTTAATTTTTGTGTTTTCAAACTGATTGTCCCTGGCTGGATTTTTCTCCCTTTGGTGTGCATGAGTGTGTAGCATTCAAACAGAGCTAAAAAAGCACGTGGGAAGCAGCAGAAAAGGGTTTATGGCACTTTCTTGGGGTCCCTTCAAGTGCAAGATGCTCTGTTAACGTCTTAAGAGCAACTCTGACTACATTAATGTGCTCAGGGCTAGACGAAGTGTCTCTGCACCTGACACTTGAATTAGATGATGGAGTCTGGAAACAGAGAGAACTTAGACAAGGAAAAGTTATTTTCTAAGAACATTTTCTCATATTGATGTGCAATGCACATGTCTGGCAGACTCAGAAAATGGAAGTTTCTAACAAGCAGAGCTCACGTAAAGGCACCGAAGGTTTCCCCATTCCTCCTCCAACACGCATAAACCACGGCTCTACTCCGGTCACCCCCCTCACAGGGCACTTTGTGACCACACGCTGCTATCGGTCTCACCCCAGTGCAGAGGTGTCCACAGCAGGGTAGTTTCAAATAATAGGAATACTGAAAATCAATCTAAGTTGTTTTACGGTGATGGCTCACTCAAGTTACATGCAAATAAAATTATCAGAACAGTCACTAAAAACCAGAATGAAGCCATCAAAACCACTGGGGTCTCCAGATCGTTATCAGATAATCAGAGCTTTTGACAAACTTAATATGGGATAGAGCTGAGCTCTGCAGCAAAGCCTTCCTGGCAAATACAGTTGTTCTCAGCCTTCCCTTTCTTAGATTTTATCTATACATACTGACCTGGTCTGATTTTGTCTGGGTATACATGCTCCCGTTTTGCAGGGAATGACAGGGAGTCTATTTCTTTTCTCTCATCAGCTTAATCCCAGAGGTAAAATATAATAAGCCTACTTTCCTTTAGCTAACACGAAGCACCTACATCACCACTGCTGCTGCTTTGAACTTCATGATACATTTCCAATGAATGCAAAGAGGTAAGGAATCAGATGAACTTCAGGCTCTTACTACTGAGTTTCATCTAGTATTACATTTAACTGTTACAGGAGTTATGACTCCTGGAGCCAGCTCCCTGATTGATTCGATATTTGGAATAGTGTCCAGAAATGATTCTCTACTGTCCATTCCTGTATATGCAGTGGATGGAAATGGGCTTCCAGCTGCTTGGAGAGAGAGAGCTTGTGACATGTCTCCAAAAAGCTGGATTTCCAGTCCAAGAAAGCATTTCTGTAAAGCCAACCGAGCGGTGAAGTTTCAAGTAAATTGCAAGTTTCCAAGAAACGGTGAATGAGGAGCAGAATCAGAAACGAAGGCACCAAATCTCCTTCTAACTTCTACAGCAACGTTCCTAGATATTACCTGCAGTATTAGAGAGGGAGATCTTCCAGTAGTGGAGTCTTAAAACATCATTAAAAACATCAATATCCAAATAGCTTTGATCAATGCCTTGGAGACTCTCAGCAGCGTTCCCTTCTTCCACTCAAAGTCAGCAGTGAGTGGGGCCAGGGAAAGATGCTTCTTGTGAAGCATGGCTCTAGGGGTCAATAAAGGACACTGCGATGTAACGGGTCCCTTTGGTGGTTGGAAGGCCTTCATGATAGTGGGTCAGGCGTCCTGGATGCATGAGGGTCCAGCCTTTCCGCGGAGCTCGAATGGAGCAATTGTAGCGCAGGAATCGGCAGCCTCCTCCCTGAGAGGAACAAAACACGAGAGGTATTGGCTTAGTAAAAGCAGGACAGGGAAAGGATTTCTGCCTTTTCCTGGAGAGCCTTCTGAAAGGGTGGGAAGGTACTTGAGGAATTCCTTGCTACAGATGTTCACAGAACCATAGAATGGTTGAGGTTGGAAGGGACCTCTAGAGGTCATATAGTCCAACCCCTTGCTCAAGCAGGGACACCTAGAGCACGTGGCACAGGGTGGCATCCAGGTGGGTTTTGAAGATCTCCAGAGAAGGAGACTCCACAACCTCTTTGGACAGCCTGTTCCACTGCTCTGTCTCTCTCACAGTAAAGAAGTTCTTCCTCACATGGAGATGGAACTTCCTGTGTTTTAATTTGTACCCATTACCCCTTGTCTTGTCACTGGCCACCATCAAGAAGAGTTTGGCCCCATCTTCTTTCCATTCTCCCCCCAGGTATTTTTACATATTGATCAGATCCCCTCTCAGTCTTCTCTAGGCTAAACAGGCCCAGCTCACTTAGTGTTTCCTGCTCTCTTAACCCAGTCATTAATTGCATTCCTTGGAGTGAAGAGCCCAGGTATAGATAAGGGAAGGGTTTCCCAGAAGGCTGCTATTGCATGGTCTGGCTCCTGACATACCCACAAACACTTACCTCGTAGTCTATTCCAACTCGGTTCAGAGCAATGTTAATGGTAAAGGTGGAAGCATCATGATGAGGCATTAGAGAGGGCTGCTCATCAGGTTTGTAGCGAACTACAAAGGCCAGCTCAAACTGAGTCTGTGGGGGAGAATAACAAAGTACACACGTTACAGGCCTATAGTGTTCCATAGCTACTGAGCTCCAGGCATGGTGTAACATTTAAATTGTCTTTCACTGCTAAAAGAGAAGAAACACAGTAAAATCAGGAGATTATTCTCCCAAAATCATGCACGGATACTGATGACGTATATTGATGCCATACCTCAGGTTCAGTTCCTCCATATTAGGAAATAGTATGTGTATCAGTATGTACACATATCAGGGCCATTCCCTTACACAGTTGCAAGAGCAGGAGGTGCCAAGCTATACCTACCTTGGTGTAGTATCCTGGATACATTTTCTCTGTGATGGGTGCAATATAGTCTAGAAGAAACTTATACCACTCTCTTTCAAAGCCAATTTGATTCATGTGGATGTCAATAGTCGGGACATTCTCATATCCCCCTTGTATCCTGCTGTCCTGAAATCGAATCATCAAAATATCTGTGAGGACAGGCACTTCAAATATGAAAAGCACTTGTTTCTGGTAGTTATTAATAATATAAGGTTTATTCATCAGTATTTTCAGGATGGAAAATTCATACTAAAGATTAATTCAACCCACAAGTTAGACAATATTACCATCTGGTTTTCCAGTTTAACCCCTGGCTTTAATGTCATCCTAGAGGAGACACTATTGTTGCAAGTATTCATGGAAAATGGTGTGATCTAGAAATGAAGGAGCCCCTGCTTTTTCGTACCGTATTGTCACCCGTGGACCACTGGCCATAATGTTCCATTTCTTCCACCAGTTCATCACATGCAGCCTCAGTGAATATGGGGAACCAGTAAACATCTGGGCAGGGCTGGAAAACACAGTAGACAGGTAAGAATGGTAGAAGCCAGGGCAGGTGCTTGAGATAGATGGTAAACAGGGTCAGATTAAGTGGTAACTAACTAAAGTCACTGAAATATTCATAGAAATTTGCCTTCTGATCTATGTATCCTGCTGAAAAGGTCAAGATCTGCAAGACTTTGATGCATTGCCTAGCTCCTTACTTCTGAGAATGAGAGTGGTGATAATACAAGCATTATCCTCATGCTAATCTCCCATTCTAATGCATAAAAGCTATGTTTTCTTACCACTTCCACCAATTTCCCCTTCAGAGCTGCAGTGTAGTTTTCATGGATGTATTTTTCTCTCCAGTCCTGCAGTTAAAAGATAAGCAAACTTGTCATTTTGTACAGCCCGGTTAAAGAGGCAGTGAAAGGCCATGCGCTGAAGCAGCAGTACTTCACAGGCTCTGGAGATGCGGATTTAATTATGAATCACAAACACTCTCCCTGTAAATTCTGTGACTGTGCTCCTCATCCCACCCGACAGACATCACACAACAAAGCCTGGACCTTCTTTATCAGCGAAGCCGATGATGAGGTTTTCACAGCCCACACTGCTAGGCCTGCTGAGCATGCCAGTTATCTCACCTCAGGATTGCTGAATATTTGCCAGAGGTCATTGTGGAGATGAGTTGTCTGATAATTCTCCAGAGAGAGGATGTGTCCAAACTGATGCCGATTTGTCAGGTACATGAAGACTCCCTGAAGGACAAAAGGAAACAATCAAGATGTGTTTCAAGGCCTCACATTCCTGTGAGTCATTAGAAAGTATAAGCACTGGACTTAAGCACTGTGGTGATGATGCCCCTGAGCTGTTTATGTACTCATTCTCCTGTGGGCCTTCACTTTAATTTTAACCCTGGATATGAGCAACTCTGAAAGATTACAGCCAGAGCCAGCAATCCTGTGCCTGTCATCAGCCAGGCATGGAACCAGAATAGAGCAGGTGCCCTAAGATGAGTTTTTTTTCCTTTTTCTCTGGAAAATTCAGGACATTTCAGGACATTTAGAACAGATCTGAATAGGTCCAAGAACAAATATGTGATTTGCATTTAATGGCCCCTGGCTCTAGGTGGTTTCCAGCGAGACAGAAATCTCATATGGTTCCAAGACTGCATAGAATCAAGTAATGCCAGTGCATCCTGTTCCATGGCCTGGCAGAGATGAATGCCTTGAGACCACTTTAGCTTGTCACCTCCACCATGGAATGCAGTTCCTCACTGCCAGCTTCTCTCCTCAACTGACCTGATTCCGAACATTATGGCAGAAAGCCATGTCAGCATCCAGCTTTCCACTGTGGAAGAGATCTCCCTGGTCAAGCTGTGATCGCAGAGCAGTGGCTTTAACCATGTAAACGCCACTGATATAGGGAACGTTCCAAAGCCCACTGAAACAAAGGAGGAGGAGACTAAGACATGATATAACAGAAACAAAGAAACTGCAAGACTCAATGGGATGGTAAGCAGCACTGCAATATCAGCCAGGCTACCCAATATGAGCCAACTCAGATCAGTACGGAGAAACCGCACCGACAGGAATTGTCATTCCAGGAAAAATCAGGTATATTGCCAGAGCTTTTAAACAGCATAAAACCTCATCTGCTGTGAACGCAGTTAATTGCTACTGTGTGTTTCTGTTAGGGACATAATTAATGGCTTGAAACTCTTCCCAGAAAGATCAATGTATTTTTTTCCTAATGATTTAAAATGACTGAACCAGCCAAAAGTGCATAAGCTGATTTCCAGCATTCATTGTGCATACATTGACCTAAAAAAGGGGATCCTCAAGAAAACAAATGAAACAACAATATTTTGTGAATCTTTCACCCAAAAATCACATATTGTTTTACAAAGACCATCTGATAAAGGTTAGAAAGCTCTGAAGTGATTTTAAGAATCACATACACAGGTGGAAAAACATGACATGAATAAAATTAAGCAATTTCAGTTGTCAGAAGCCTCAATCCCTTCCTCTGATTTTAAGGAAGTCTGCCTGAAGTACATATGATCTCTGCATAGGGAGAACACATAGCAGGTTCCAATTGGGAACAGAGTTGTGTTTGATAATCATATGCATCAGCAAGCTTTTTATTTAAAGGATTCTATCAAAAATAAATTATCTTTGCATACTCACATCCTCCGCCTTTGAACAATATCCACATAATCTTCCGAGCGTGCGTAGTACCCATCAGGACTCAGCGCTCCCCAGAAATTTGACCACAACTTCTCATGCCGACTTACCAGTGGGGCAATCACCAGCCTGTGAGTAGAAAAGAAAATGGAATTTGCAGGACATTTGCAAGATGTTGCCACAGGAAGAAAAATAAAATATTTACAACCCACAGAACTGTAAGAGTTAGACTCTCCCTCTCTCACACGCTGTTTCTACTAACTCTGGTATTATAAAAAAAATCTAGTTCAGCAAAGGCAAAAACCATCACAGTCTCATATATAACTGCATCCAGCAGCAGATCTCCTAGAATCTGATTTATTCTAGCCACAATATAAATGCAAAGCTAGGGATGATTTACATCCATTGCCTAAAATTCAGGGATTGGCCACTACTATGAAGATAAGAGACCAAATAAGAGGCATTTGGTGAACAGTAGAGTTCACCTAGGGCTCTACACATCTCAGTAATAAATTCTCAATGTGAAACATGCCCAGTAAGGATTACACAGACCAACGAACTCACTTGTTCTGTTCAATCAGGATTCTTAGAGTCTCTGTGTTCTTCAGAACTATGTCAGCATCCAAACTAAAGTAATAATCACAGTCAGGATCCTTTCTGCACAAATCCCTATGGCCAGAGAGAAAAAAAAAGAGTCAGGTGAAAACCCAGAGGATCAGCATAAAAAAAGCACATCAGTTTCAGCAGCCAACAGCACACACAAAGATGTAGCCAACACCACATTTAGCCAACTTTGTTTTCCCAGCACAAATGAGTAGCAGCAGGTACCCATTTATAGCTGGCCCAAATCCAGACCTCAGTTCATACTTCTCCTTCCTCATCACCACAAGCTACTCTGTTGCAGTCTGAGTAAAAGACAAGAAACGTTCGCTTAACAGACTTAGCCTGGACTCAGTCTGACTCCAGTAGCTCTCAAGTTTGGCCTCTTCACTTACATGCCCAAGTTCCGTGCTTCAGCATTCTCCACCTCATCATCTGGCCCAATCACTTTGATGGCAAGATATTCTTTGCTGTACTCCTCAACAAATGAGTCCACCTGTGTCAAGTGATGCTGTTCCTATGCCAAAAGAAGAATTAGAAAACAACAACAAACAGGTGATGTGCTCATCCCAGGCTGCTCAGTCTTTTGCTCTTGAGAATGCCAAATCAGGTGAGCAATAGGTCTTTCCACCTCAACACCTTTACTGCTAGATGGAGCTATTCTATAGGTGTGTTTCATAGAATCATAGAATCCTTAAGGTTGGAAGGGACCTCCAGAGGTCATCTAGTCCAACCCCCCTGCACACACAGGGTTTTTTTTTTTGAAAAGAGGCCGGCACCATCCTCCTCACTGCCTCCCTTGAGGTACTTAGACACGGATTAGATCCCTTCTCAGCCTTCTCTTCTCCAGGCTGAACAGGCCCAGCTCCCTCAGCCTCTCCTCATAGGGCAGATGTTCCAGGCCCCTGATCATCCTTGTAGCCCTGCGCTGGACTCTCTCCAGCAGCTCCACATCCCTCTTGTACTGGGTTTGCAGATGGTAGTTACAGGGTCTGGCAGTCCAATCAAAGGTTCAAAGGTGATGGGGAGGTAAACATTTTCCCAGCATTTGTGAAGACTGTCAGAGACCAAGTTTACTTACATGGTTGTGAATGAAGAGCTGGATCCGCTGTTTTGGGTAATGGAGGTTACGAAGCCGCAAGAAGAACTGGGAGAGGAATGGAGTGGGTTGCTCGATGAAAACGCCAATCAGAATCAGTGGCATCGCATGATCCTACATTCAATGAGAAGCAGAGAGAGGTGGTGGCTCTTGTATGTCACCAAAACCACAAGATCCTCTTGTAATACCTTTTTCTAGTGCTTGGGATAGACACCAGCCTTACCTTAAACCCTGTGAGGCTTCGCAGGCCTTCATCACACACAGTGCAACCAGTCTCAAATGTCCATATTTGAGGAATGTAGTTTCCCAGGTAGTTCAGCTGCAGCTGCAAAAAGAAATTTGCCATATTTCACACACAGGCCACTCAAGTTTCTTTGCCTCTATACCCTGGTGCGAAATCAGATTCCATCAGAACTTCATTTACCTTCTTCCTGGACTAAAGAGTCTGAAAAACAGGACAGCCCTCAAGTCAAGCCCTCAAATTGATCTTTGAACCAAACCCATCATGCTGCTGTGGCCTTGGACCATGGATGCAGGAAAACTCAGGATGTGGGAGGATAACAGCCTGATACACTCAAACACAAAGGATTACTTTGCAACAAACTCATACCAAACCTTTCTGTCAGGGCTCCTGCTTACCTTGGTGGGTCCATTTCCATGAATCACCACAGGCAGTGTGTCATATAACAAGTTTCTTGCTCTCACCCGTGCATTTTCAAACTTCAGAACCACCTCATCTGGAAATCACATTGCCATCATGTTAACAGGTGACTTTTATTAGTAATTAGAAACACAAGCCATGTTTCTACCACCAATTGTTAGAAGATGAAAGCATGGACCTGGAAAGCCATATATACAAGGAGTCTGAGGACCACAGACTGTATCCAGGAAGAAAAAAACAAAAGTTTAGAACTGTAGACCAGTTCAGGTTTCAACTCCACTCTTCCATCCTTACAATGAGCACAAGAGCCAAAAACTACATTGTCTTACCATTTTTTCTGTGATTAAATAAACATGGGCTGAAGCAAGACAGTAAACTGAAAACACTAGGCAGTAGTCCCAGGTGAATAGGTGGGTCACATCAGCCAAACTAGAGTAATCAGCTGGTCAGCAGCTTGGTGTGGGTCAGTGAGTACTCACAGGCAGTGTCTGGCTGCATCTCACTTTCTGTGTCATTCCAGACACCGTTGTGAAACGGAAAGAGAGGCAGCCCTAGGCAGGGTTGTATGTTATTACTTGCAGGGAAGTCCCTCCCAGTTTCAATCCCCAAGGCTAATCCAATCCGACATGCTTGGAGATCAAAGTGGCAAGGAAGTGTGAGATGGAAAACCTGACCTGCATTCCCTGAGTGAGAAAGGAATTACGGTCCGAACCCAGTTAGTCACAGTAAAATTGCAAACAAATCCTAGGACGCTGGCAGGGACTTTTACTGAGGCTTGTCCTTCAGGGACAGGAATTTCTGAAATTTAATCCCTTCAAGCACATGACAGTTGTATTTCTGGTGTGAGCATTCAGTTGCATTCCAAGGAGAAACAAGCCTCTTCTTCCATCTCACCTAAAGCTCCATTCAGGTTCTGGAAGATACGGCTTCTGTGGTCTAGACTGATGTTGATACTTTCCTTTAGAAAAGCGAGATAAATAACCTTAGTTAGAACACAAGCAGGCACCCGTTCTTCACATGTGACAGACTTTATGTTAAGTAAAGACACAACACATATTTTCATATTCTCCAAGCCCTGAAGACTAAAAACACTCCAAGCTAATCCTCATTTTCATTTGAATTTGAAACAATTCACCAGTCCTTAAACACTTAGGCACAAACTTATAAATAAACACTTCAAAACTGCTCTGGGGATCCTAATAATGGAGAAATATGCAGTGTATTAATGAAGCACACTTGCTCCACAGCCATGTAAAACTTACTTAGGAATGCCAAGGCAGCAAAAATACCTGCTGTGAAGGCAGTTTCTTGCCATGTATCCACAGGGTTACCCCAAATATTGCCCCAGGTGCCAGTGTCAAACCAGAACACAGTACGGGTGCAAGACCAGCTTGTGCAATTTCTGTTTTCAGAGCTGTTTTACTGCAGGTCTGAATGGATTTCTGTCACACCAAAACTAAGCTGTAACGTAACAGAGTTCAGTGTCCCTCCAGGCACCTACAGAGACTGATTTCTGGAAAGGGCGGCAGGGTGCTAACATCCGGTGTCTGAATGCCAAGTCAGTGGAATTACTCAGCTTTCAGTGGCATAAGGCCAGAGCTGCAGATGAGAATATTAAAGGAGCAGTTCATGTTAAAATATTACAGGCCACATTCAGACTTGGGGAGGTAAAAAAATCCAAGTCCTTTTCCAACCAAGCGGAAGGCACTTTACTATTTTTAACGATTGCGCTGAGTTTACTGTTACAGTTTCACTTCTTAGTTCTCAAGCATTTCTGGCACCCCCCACAAACAGCCAGTGCTGTGTGACACAGAACTGGGCAGGGACAACGGAAGCAGCATCACGCTGTGGGCTGGATTAATGTGTACTCCAGCACAACACATGGTGTTAGGGGTCCATTCCTATGTTCAGTATTCCAGGCCAGGCTCAGGAGATGCAGTTTTCAGGGTCTGTATCTGGAGATACTTGCTGAAAGCAAACCTCTTCATTTCCAGTCGGGCTATCCAATGTGACGCCTTATCCCTGTCCTGTGGCACATCAGTAGTTACAAAGCTGTGAACCTCTGTCCCTTGCATCACCCCAAATGTGCTCAGACCTCATCTGCCCCCTTATCTACAATGTTCTTCAGTGCTAGGTTGCGTTTGTCTTAAGTTAGTACCGCAGGCTGCAGGGAAGATACAGACTTAAAGATTGGATTTCATATCCCCTGGCAGGAGACTGGTTTCATGACATTTGACCACTTAAAACATCAGCACAAACATATGAATTTACAATAAGACTTATTTTAAGCTCCCTGTCTTCATAGTCAGATTTTAAGTCTAAAGACAAAACCCGATAATAAGACAGGATGTGGTTGCTAGAATGCAAATTTTCAAAATGGAAAAGGATAACGCGACATACTAGTGACCTCTTTCATATCATCACAGGGCAA